ATATAATGTTTGGCCTTCTATGGGAAAACAAACAACTGGCCTTGCGTAAGCTTGCCGATTATTTTTAATTCATAGGCATTATAATGCAAAAGAGCCTCTTTAATCCCATGACATACTTAAACGGCCGTGGCAGAATATTGCTTGTGATATTTTCTCACTAAGAGAATGTGTTTCAATTTTATTTTATTTATATTTTAGCTTTTGATTTGTTAGAGATTATCTCATTACGGCCGACATATACAATAAACACTTTGAAGTAGACTGGTTAAAAGACACGAAAAGTATAACATTGCATTGATTGAAAGTTCAGTTTTCTGTTTTGGTCAAATGACTGTTTGAAAAGTGACAATGGCCCACACTTCACCTCTGGTGAATTTGCAAAATACTGGAATCGTGAACACGTAACACCTTCCCCAGCCCATCGTCAATCAAATGGCTTTATTGAAAGGATTGTGTCTGTAGCTAAAACACAATGAATAAATGTAAAGTTAGTAAATTCGACCCATATCTGCCATTCTTAGATTATAAAAAACACCATAACTGCCCAATTATTAATGGGAAGAAGGTTAAATTTAGTCTACCTACAACTAAGAAACAGGTAACGTGAAAAAATACTCACACTGCTGCAATTTAGAATATGAGAAATAGCAAACTGACCCAAGTTATATTACGATAGAAGGGTCAAAATCCTTCCCCAAATTAAATGTAGGTCGTTCGATTATAAACAAAAAAAAGGTGAAACATGGGAACCAGCTTTGATAATCGCAATTCACGGTGACAGGTCATACAGTGTAAAATATCTAAGCATAATTCAATTTACAAACGAAACAGGTGTTTTCTCCAAATATCCCGGAAAAATTGTGCATACTCTCTACCATTTTCTAACGAGTAGGTCCATGGAGTGAAATATATTTCAAAATACGATTTGATCTGATTCTTTTGATATTTGTCTCAAAGACATTCATGTACCATCCAATGACAATATCTAAAGGTTTAGTATACAATGGTAGCAGTTCATGAAAACAATCATTAAACTGGTAAGCTGATTGAATCCAATTAAGTGTTTTTAAGGTAATTGCCCCTTCAATTAAGACCATTAAACATAATCTAATAATCTAAATGTGCAATAGGATCACCTTATCAAGATAGACGGTTAAACAGTAATGGTAACGAAGGTTTTCTTAGAATCAGAAAATAACATAATAACATCGCTTCAGCTACATTGATAAGTTTCTTTTAGTTCTAATGTACATCGATGAACAAGTTTAAACATATTTCTATGACATGGCTACAGAATATATCATGATATATCAAGCAAAATGAAAACTCTAACACCAACAGTCTTGTTGATAACTTCTGCTAATACTTCTTTCTCTTTTTATACTGTTTTCAACACTTTTCACGTTACATCTTTCATTTGTTCCTCTAGTTTTACCAAAAACTGTTCTCTGTTGAGTTTTGATTCGGTTAATTAATCTCGTTACCATCTTTTTCTTGCCTTTCTCCACTAATTCTATTCTGTTCCACTGATTTCATACAATCGCCTCAGACAGCGATTTCTCAAGGTAATCTAGAGTTTGAAAGTTTTCACGGGCTCTTTCCGAGTTTTCTGTCTATAGCTTCCTTTCTAAGCAGCTTTATAGAGAAAGCAGAATTCAGGTGTTTCGTACATAAGCATGAAATGCGACTTGAAAATAAGAACAGCAAAATGTAATTGCGTCTGCATCGACTTAACGATGTGAATGATATATCAACATAAGGATTTTGAGATTGAAACCTTCTGTACAAATTTGATAGATAATCAGAAAGAATATATAATTGTTTCTTTTTACCACTCCCACTATTCTTGACATCTTTCTTTCCAGGTTGACGCTTTTTGTTATCACCTCTTTTAGTAAATTGTATTACTCTCTCCTGACATCTCCCGATTGTGCTCTTTCTCAATGATTTTGGTACTTTGTTGAGCTTACTTTCGCTTTTCCCAAGTCTATGTCGACACAGGCCAGGTTTTAATGACAGTAATTTGATACAATTATATCTCTTGGTTATCTTTCTGGAGATGATTGACAATGTGTAAAGCTTTCATAGTTCCTTTTTCCGTTTGACTTCGCTGACAATGACATCTCCTAGCAACAGTGACTTTCTATTTTGTTCTAAAAGTTAGAAAGGTTTGCCATCTGCATTGTTTTGTTCGCGGTGTTAATTCTTGACAACGATGCTGCTTTTCACTTTTGTTTCTCATCCGCTGTGGGTAGATTTGTATCTTTTCAAAATCTTGGATCTTTCTTGTTTAAAAAGTCTAATGCGCGAGGTGGCCTCTGACAATTCTCGTTTCCACATTAAAAGTGCACCCTTTCTCATATTGTTTTGAAATGAGATTCTTACTCCTAGACAACCTCTTTATGAATTTTGTGGTACCTTCATACTCGTACACACTTGTGTCTTGGTCTTTTGGTCGCTTGCATTCACGCTTGCATTGGTGAAACCTTCCTAATTTAGCTCTATTTTGCTCAGTTCTTTTCTTGTCTCTGTCCGTTAGTTCAGATGAAGGTACATAGTTACGGCGCATTCTCTCACGTTCCCACCTACGATATTGTTCATTGTTTTTCTCTGTAATTAAGGCACTGATATGCTAGGCCCTTTGGTTTTTATGGTTTACTCTTTCCCATATTGAGAAATTTACCTTCGTTATGTTTACGAAACCTTCGTTATAATTATAATTATTATCATTATTGAAAAAGGAACTAATGCTATATTGATGTATAACAAATCTTCATTTATAATCTAATTGTGAGCAGTACGTAACATTGAAAAGTAGCAGGGAAAAAGTATTATGTTCATGTATATACTCAAAAACCATTATACTGCGCTAGTTATTAAAAAAATTAAATATGTTTCCAGACGATTGTTTTGACAAATTTATTCTTTTGAAAAGAAAAGTATAAATACTCACAATTTTAAAAGAAAATAACATTTTTAATGTTTTTCATCGATTTCAGTTTCAAGTCAGTAGTCATTCCGATATGACCTCACAGACGTCACGGGAAGTCATGTTTCTCTAATTTCATAATGTCCGCGGTATTTTTGAATTGTGACAACGTAAGTTTAATTCACAAGTATGTTTAAACTTTAATTATGATCTGAATTAGTTTATGCATAACATACAAAATATTGAATGAGTGTAGATTTAATACTAAATGTATAAATAGCGTCCATATTTCCAGAATGATCCCTCCTTAATTTTTGAATTTTCCTTATTTATTATATGACTTTCTGTTTTCTTCGTGGATTTACTTCAAATTTAAGATACATTGTTATCATCGACACCTACATCATATGTTATTCGTTTATGAGCCTGGGTTTCAATGATTATTTTCGTTTTGAACTCGGAATTGATTTGAAAATTGTTACATTTTTTTCACTTTTCTTCTTTCTTATTATAAATGGTTTTTACTTTTGACTGAAGAAAATTGTTCTTTTTCATCACCCACGTCTAGTTCATATATTATTTAAGTAGTAAGTAGAAAATGCAAGTGGGAGCGGTGTTCTATATATTAAGTGCCAAAGATTGTTGGCTCTAGCAATAACCTCTTCATAACCATTGTACAATTTGACATCAGTATTGGTTGGTTTCAGGAAGTGGACTTAAACATGATTAAGCTCCAAGAACTTTTTTCTCAATCGAGCTTAAATTAGTGTGATTAACAAAGTGCTAGTGAGTAAAATCGGTCATAACAGTTATATCTTTTTATTGAGTGTATGCTTATTTTACGTGATCACACACTTTGTGTTCTATTACCTATATATTAACCTGTTACCTGACAGACTGTATATACAGTGTTTTGACGAAAGTCATATTCTAAGTCATTTACAACAATTCATTTATCACGTTCACTTCGGTCATGCAATAAACTGGTTAACTTTACTGTGTTTAAGTAGTAATCTACATGTATAAAACGTAGTAAAACATTTAACAAATAAAAGCAATCAGAAAAATACAAGAGCGAAAAAGTTTGGATCAATGCCTTGTACGTCGATCAATTTACGTCTTTAAATAGAACCTATAAAGCATATGATCTTCAAATTTTCAAATTGAATTTTAAATCTGTACCAGTGTAATACGTTTGATATTTTGCAACCGTATTTTACGCATAATTGAAATATGTGATGGCTAGGAACTACCTATATTCTATTCTTTACGGATCACTACAATCAGTAGAACCCACGACATTAATCTAAAATACTTCCATTTCTTTGAGAATATTGGATAAAGAAATTATTTCATACCCATGATACCGAAAGTTATGTTCTGTTTACTTGTACTATATTTAGCAAGACGACTATTAGTCATATTAGACAGAAGAGTGTTTGTTATTGGCGTCCGCGCCGAAGCGCGGCTCCCTTATGGAATGAAATCAGATTTTGTGAAAGGGCGACAGCAACTTCTCGAGCCTTTTAGTCGGTCATAATAAAAGCCGATCATTCCGATCGGTATGAGGGTGCTTGATTATTAATTAAGAATGAAATGTTGCGATATGTGCCGCGCCCTTATGGAATGAAATCAGATTTTGTGAAAGGGCGACAGCAACTTCTCGAGCCTTTTAGTCGGTCATAATAAAAGCCGATCATTCCGATCGGTATGAGGGTGCTTGATTATTAATTAAGAATGAAATGTTGCGATATGTTATGTACAATGAATAGCGAACTGGAGAATTTCGCAATGCAAACATTTTCAAATGAAATAACCTTTTCCGTCAATAAATCGCGCTCTTCGGGATTTTTTATTTATCATCTTGCGATCAGAAAATACAAAAACAAAATTAACAACAACAAAAGCATGTTTCATTTTATCTATATGAGATAAAAACAATAAATATGTACAATAATTGAGAAAAAGGTACATTTTTATGGTATTAATATGACATTATCAACTATGAAACATTTTATTTAATTTGTTATCCGTGTTTAGTAAAGATGCCGAGGAATTATTCAAAGTTACAAATTAGATTTTATGAATTATTCAATTGATTGATAATTAAAAAATGATAAAGAAAAATACAAATGTACATGTACATGGTTTAAGAATAAACAATATTATATATTGAAAGATAAACCATAATTTACTGACCTTTTCAGTTAAGTTTTGACTTATGATCGTCGGTCAATATGACAATTGAATTCTTAAAATTTATTTTACAATTTTAATAAAAAAGAGTAGTAAACATAAAAACTCAGTATTAAAATAGCACATAAACCACAAAAAAAGAAAAGAAAACAATATTCATAAAATTTGTTTTTTTTATTAAAATTAATAGATATTACAATTATTGTATAATAAACAATTATGCTCAACATGATCAACATGGTAATATAACCAGTGTCATATTTCTACTAAGTGTGAACAGATACCTTAAGAGGGGGTCTTCGCTAATAGCGATAACATAATAAGGGACAATTACAAAGGTGTGGTACGTGTTGATCATGCGTTACACATATTGATTATAAATGATTGTATACATGTATATCCGTTGCTATTAATAACCACGATCATAAAGACATAACAAGTAATATTCTAATCTCTAGCATGCCAATCAAAGTTCATAATGAACAATGTCTTTCGTCCGCTCATTCATAAGTGATATACATTTCTGGTAGTTTATAAGAATATCTTGTCATCATATGTCTACTAGTTCATCTTCACTTGCTGCATTTCTTGCTTGGACGCCCTTTGATGCTTTGCATCAATGCTTTTCTTGTATGTAATCTAGACGGAAGTAACATCGCTCCAATGCACCCATTCAATATACGTATTGGGTTTATAAAAAAAACTGGATGTAAACACGCGTGCCGTTTTAGGATAATATTAACATCGATTTAAGTCAACCTCCGTAAAGTTTAAACATAATCAAATTTTAAACGTACTGTCAATGCAGAAAGATATAATTATGTGTTCTTAGAGGATATACCTAAAATACAAATATGATTTTGAAATATGTAAGTTTTATAGATCTATAATTGATTATAATATATTTATAAGAGTTATTGTTAAAGGGTATAAACAGTCTTTATTAAAATATAGACAAGTGTCTAATAAATATCTTAGAATACATGCAGTTTATAATTATGTGTTAATAGATGATGCTTAAATTACAAATATGATTTTAAATTACGTATGTTTTTTTAAAAAATAGATTGCTCGAAATGAACAATAAGTGTACTGGTATCTTGCCTGTCAATGGATACCAATTAATATGAAGAAAAATCACGCCCCACGCTACGTAGTAAGGACATAATGCTTCCAAGGCATATTTACGTGCCTGCAAATATAAAATACAATCATCAATGAATCGATATCAAAACTCCCATATGAAGTGCTATTGAGACTTTACGTAATTGCAACTTCATGTGTTACTATTTGAACAATCAAACTCACATATTTTAATATGCTATATGATTAATTGCATCTTTTTTAAGGACAGCGTATGATGTTCGTTGTATAAGATAAAATTCTTTGCTTGTTCTTGATATAACTAGATGTAATATTGTAAGTTCCTCTAAGTACCTTTAATTTGTTATTTAAAACTGCCACTTACATTGTCGACACTATTTCACAATAAATAACTTTATTTGATCAATACTTGGCAATTTTGATGTGTCTTAGCATTCATATACTTCAATAAATTCACTGATTACAAATATAATGCAATACATGATCAATGTCCATCGACAACGCAGATGACAACGATAACAATATTATAGTCGCATGTTACAGTACGCGCTAAGCAGTTGGCGGTAAGCATAATGCGAGTTGCAATATTTTGTTTTCATATTATGACAGCAGGTGTCGCTTTGTCGGTACATCTCGTATTTTCCGGATGGTCCCGCTATTTTGGCACGTGGAGTCCTCTTTATATAGGGGCGTATACCGAATAGTGTTAGTTGGGGGCTGACATGTAAGTGAAAGATTTTGAGAAAATCTATAGAAAACAGGCGAAAATTGCGTGTTTTTGAAGATTCGACCAGCATGTGACAAAGATGTACTAGATGTCTCTTAAAACTCACCCTACAAGTGGCAAAACACCTCTTATACATTCTTTATGCAACTTTTAAGCGTGTGCCGTAGTCGTTTGTGCAATAGTGAAATTGAATATAAAGATATATTATGCTCAAACTCGATATTTTAAAATATTGATTGTTGCTTGACAGTCTTTTTGTAATTAAAAATAAATACCATTCACACAAATATGTTGCTTTAAAATATATACACTATAAGTGGGCACTATGAATTGTTATTAAAAGAATATGGCAGTTTTTTAAAGAAAGGCACAACTTTACTTGACCCGTAATAAGGTACGCAGATTCCAATACATTGTGTGTATGTGATTTATTTAAATTAGACATATTCAGTAAGATTTTAATAGATTTCAATAAATTTCTGTAATTAAAATATATTACTGAAAGATGCGCATCTTTAAGCACAAATGTGTATGAATGTGATAGTGTGTAAGGGGTTTCTGTGACACAGTAAGTTGGTGGCTTATATGCCCATTGGGCCGTGTACTATAATCATACACATTTATGCTTATTATTTGTTATTGGCTATGCAAATGTCACAATAATAAACAACTTCGTTTGTTCCTAGTTATATATTGTACTGCGTAACACACCTATTCGCCACTATTACTGACTCTGAGACATTTGTAAAGATAATAAGCCAATAAAATTTGCCTTTTTAATTTTCAAGTCATTGGATGAAGACCTGGAATCAACTGGATGAAAGAATTATATGTTTTGATAATGGAGTACACTATGACCACTATTGCATGAAACTGAGAGTTATATTCCATCCCAGCTCATGAACTTATCTTTGGACTGAGCTTGGGGGTGGGTGCAACGCTTAAGCCAGGGCCTGAACCCGCCACTGTATAACTGTCCCCATTAAATAACTGTTCATGAATATATATTTTTTCTATTACACTGTAAACATATATAAAATTGCATTGAAGACCCTTTTTCTACTTATATTCATATTCTTTCCTGGGCAATTTATATGTACGTATTTATTTATACGCAAAAGAATACCATTGTATGGTCACTGCAGTTTATGTACGGAAAATTCCGATGATTGGCGAAATGTGGAAAATTCCGTTAATCTTGATAACAGAGTTCTCGCCCCTTAAGAGTTCACAGTCGCTAGAAATTGTTTAAATTGTTTATATATATATTGCAAGATGATTAAACATAATCCACAAAGCACCAGACACCCAGCTTTATTTAGCAAAGACACTGAATAATGGTAATAAGCGAAAGCTAATAGTAATCAGGCCGTGCGAGCTATAAATCATATGAGTCACACTTAAACAAAATCCGTCGTGTAATTTGAGGTGTACAAAAGGAAGTAGGGAATGAAAATAGTCGATTTTAAATGACTTCTACATGAAAGTAATACAAAAAAGAACTAAACCGTAAATAGTTTGTATAGAGCATGAAGGAAGGTAGCTTATACATAAAAGTATATGACGTTAACATTTTAATACCCCAAACCTGTACGATTAATGGCTGGTGCAATTTTAATAGTTATCACTCAATGAAAGAATTAGTCACTACGAAAGTTTAAATGAAATAATGAAAATGGAATGCACCTTAATGCAAAGTTTAAATATCATAAAGCAAGATGGAATCAAGCAAAATGCAATTTACAAATTCATCAAGCAAGATAGAATAAATGCATTAATTCTGTTCCATAGAATTAAAAAAAAAGTATATTTATTTCTGTTCTTCTTTCATCTGTTATTAAAAAATTTACTAACCTTTCAATATTACTTTATTTCCGATAACACCCTACTGAATTGTTATAATTATGAATTAACTTTAAGAAGGCGTATGGGGCATTAATTTGCGAAACATGAAAGTTTTTATTGCAATTGATTTCTCAAACATAAACCTGGTAAGCATGTATCTTTGGTCATCAATTTAATAACATATATACTCGCATATACATAATTATGCAGTACATTTGGGTAAATTAATCTATTATATTTTAAATTCTAATAATTATGCTGTATTTCAGAAAGTCACCATCTTGCTCTCACTTTTGTTTTGCTGTAAATGGATATTAGCAGCTGGTAAGAGTTTCGCTATCTCATTAGAATTATGATTCTTAACTAAAACTTATTTGGTAGAAAATAAGTTATCACAACATGTTGTACAAGAAACCGTTTTATAAAACATATATTATATGTCAAACATATGTTAAAATTCTTATGCATTCGAAAATGTGGCATAGATTTATCTTTAATCTTACATGCAGATGAAGTTTTTTTATTTGCAATAAAATTCATTTAATTACAAAATATTTTAGATGCATTGTACGAATATTGATAAAAGTGGAATGTATTAAATAAAAAAAAGAAAACCCAAAGTGATGATTTGTCTCAAAAGAGGAAGTTTACAATGCAATATCTCGTTTACCTATAATGGTTATCTTGTTGAAATTGTAAACAAGTTCATTTACTAAGGTATTTTTTCACAAACGGAGTCACACTTGCTGGACAGGCCATAGAGACAATAAGAAGACGAAAACGAATTTATTCAAATTAACAGATTTATCTGTAAAACATAGGTTAGAACGTTTTGATAAACTTGTTTCCCCGATTCTGAATTATAGAAAGATATATGCAGTGCTGTAAAAATGTTAGGGGTTTAGAAAACAACACAAATAAACCATTTTATTTATGGAGAACTGGGTAGGCTTGCTTTTTCAAAATATTAGATATTACAACATAATTAAGTTCGGGTTAAAATTTGTGAATAAAAATGAGATAACATAAGTAAGAAAAAGTGAACCTTATGGTAAAAGAAGATATTAGACCACTAAATATACTCATGCGAACGGATGAACATGTAATAACTGCAATGTCATAGAAGATAATTTTCATTTTGCTTTAAAATGTATCATATCATAGGAAAAAAGTACCGGTATATATTTGATTATTATTGGAGACGACAAAATATGTTGAAACTAAAAGAGCTACATAATTATGAGAACTTAGAGTAATAAGAAATCTTAGCATTTGTATCAAAAAGCATTTAAAATCGGAACAGGAATATTTTTGAACATGCAGTCATGACTTTGTACGTATGTATACATAATTATATAATTGTTATTATTTGAATCCTACATATGTTATTAATACAACTATGTCACCTTTTGGTATTCCATTTGCTATTATAAGTCTTATGTTTTGTTTTGGCAACACCAAAAATCAACATGATTTTCACTTTCCTTTCATATCTTTATAAGTTTTAACAGGGAGTGTATGTTCATTTTATAGATCTTTTACACTAAGTCTATATCTTGACACTTGACAAGAGGTAACTAATATCTACAGACTAATTGATATAACAGAGATTCCGTATTTATTTATCTTTTGACAAGTTCATCACGTAGAATTTTCCAAAATGTGCTTAAAACGACAATCATACAATTTCCTACAAATTGCTCGTGGATATATGCAATTATCACATTGTATTGTATTAAGTAAATTCTACTACTGTGCATTGAATTTTATACAGAAATAACACAGTTGTACGTTTCAGATGAAGTATGGCACATAATAATGTTAAAATATATATTATGTAAAAAACTGCTGAATTCTTTATAACTTTACACTTGTATGCTATATATGTAAATATATTGTCCTCATTGGCCACAAACCTTCTGGAATAAACATTACTACAATCTGTAAGTCTAAGCTATCTATTTATAATACAATGTCCAGTTTTTTCATAATTGTCAAATATTTACATACTTTTGTATGTGAACGATGTTATACTCATACTGTCATTAGATCATCTTTTGGGAGAAAGTTTTCATGATGTTACATGCATCAAGTATCTTACGTGTGATATGTTCAAACTGAACATATTAAATGTTAATGCTGCACATGAAAGACACCGACAAATGATGTGAACAGTCACAGGTAATGTACAAAATCATCCATGAAAATTGTTCTCTTTTTCAGTTGAATTTCCCAAGCACTAATCATTTTTGTGCCCCGCCATAAAATAGCTGGGGCATATAGAATTAACCCATCCTTCTCTCATCGTCATCAGCAATTTCCGGTTATTATCTAGGTAACGGTTGCACACATTCAACTCAAATTTAACATATGGATATATCATAAGAAAATGCAGGTCAAGTTCGAATTTGGTCACGGTTTGTTGATTTTTGGCAGAGATATGCCCCATTTACTTTGAGAAAAAAGAAGACATTTCATTATCTCCCCAACAACTTTGCACATGAAACTCAAATTTAAGATATGGATATGCTGTAGAAATGTGCAGGTCAAGTTCGAATTTTGTCATGATTCGATGATTTTTGGCAGAGAAATAAACCTTAACTTTGAAAAAAAAGAAGAATTTTTCAGTTTCCATTCATTATCTCCCCAACACCTGTACACAATCAACTCAAATTTGGCATATGAATACATCAAAGGAATGCGCAGGTCAACTTTGAATTTGGTCATAATTAAATGATGTTTGCTGAGTTATGCCCCTTTAACATTGAAAAAAGGGAAAATTTCAGTTTCTGTTCATTATCACCCCAACAGTTGTAAATACATATTCTATATGGCTATGTCATAGGAATACGCTGGTTAGATAGAGCAACCCTTAACGGCAAAATTGAAATGTAGCAGGCTCGGTTTGATTGAGCCTGTTCATGGACGGTACTGTAAAGTGCAAACTACCGTCCACGTCCCCTAGCACCGGCTTAAGCAGAATTCATTCATCATTTAATCATGAAATGGCAAAATTTTGAATTTAGAAACGTCCGCAGATGTGTTCATGCGACGATTATCATTTAATCTCCAATGTGACACTTCCGTGCCATTCCATGAAAAGCGGCGTATGATCCCAAAGTAATAGAAAGCCTGTGTCCTAAACGAGGAAACAATCAGTGGAACTAAACAAAATGGAATAATGAAAGGGGACCAGATATTATGAAGCCTGCATAATACAGATAAGACGTCAAAAGATAAAGTTAAAAAGCAGACAATATATCCTAAGGGTAATTCATCATTAATCAAGTAGGAATATTGGTACGACCCAAATCGAAACAGCCAAATAGTTGAAACTAAAAAATACCACACACAACAATAATGTCGTGTTGAACGATCTTTGAAGATCGGAAATATAACATCTCTTATTGAATGTAAGTTCCAATTTGGTCATGGTTTGATGATTAATGAGTTATCCCACTTGAACTTTGAAAAAAAAGAAGAATTTTTTATTTTCCGTTCATTATCTCCCCAACAGTTATACACTTTCAACTCAAATTTCTTCGGAAAAAGCAAGCCAAGTTTGAATTTGGTCGTGCTTTGATGATTTTGGACAAAGTGATCTCTCTTGAATTTAGGGAAAAATAAAATTTTAACTTTCCGCACTCTTACTTGTGTGGAAATGTGTGAAGTCTTTATCTCGGCTACAAATATGCAATTTTCAAAAGGTTAACACTGAATACTTTTATGGCCTTGCACATTTGTATAAAAATGGTTTGTGTTAACATTGAAAAGTTGAAGGGCTTTGAACATACAATAAGAAAAATAGTTTTTGTAAACAAATTAGGAACGAACTATTATTAAATCATTTGAAATTAAAGCTGCATGCGGGGGCATCCGTGGCATGACGACACATTTCTAGTTTCTTTATATGTGCTCATTATTTATTAAGTTGCATATTTTTGAGGAACAAAAATAGAACCTAATGCATAAATTCACAAAGTAATTTCTTGATGTTTATCTGTTTTGACAATGATTGAAATATCTTTTGGAGAAAGATAAACTGGATAAAAAAATAAATTATTGGTATTCTTAAAATAAATTCAAGACAAAGAAAGATGTAAAGAAAAATATCTAAGAAAATATGTTCATTTTGCAGACATATATAATCCTTCAAAACATTAAAGATATAAAAATGTTCCTATTGAATTTCAAAACAAACTTCTATTATAATATTATATTAAATATATAGAATAAATTCTAGTTTGATAATTGTAATTTATAAACATTCATTGTGTTCTTTATACAAAATTGCCTCCGTTGCTACTTCGCAGGCATGTATAACCTTCCAAAACATATAAAAAATATCTAATGGAAATTTACAACAAACTTTTATGTTGATACTACATTTGATATATATAATTTATTTTAGTTTGATTGTTTGTTATTTTAAACCATACATTGTCCCCTTTATAGAAAATTATATCAGATGCGCCAAGAATAGGTCCTGGCCATTTTGCCAGCATTGAATCCTTCTAAATAATCTATTGCAAATATTTGCGATACATTTTAAAACAAACTTGCTTTTTTCACTCAGTTAATCTGTTTTATTACTTGAATGTTAATTATTGTCATGAATAAGCATAAATTGTGCCTATTTTACAAAAAGGTAAAAAAAAGAAATAAAAAGAATAATTATGATACAAAAACATGTCACTATCACTTGAGTTAAACGCTAATTTTGTTCCATAAAGCTCGATGACATGTTGTACATAAAAAAACTTTTTTATAACAGAATCTGAAAACAATGCAAAATGTTAAAAAAATATGAAATAAGAAAATAAACAAAAGCAAGACTAAAGTTTTCCCCATTTCTGAATGGGCGAATGCATGCTTTATAACTTGATCATTTTAATACAAAGTTTTCAAAATATAAAAAAAAAATATTTCAAAATGTCAAATGATACTCGCATTAGACCATTAATTTTGATACTTTTTCGTCTAATTTTAATTTAACATCGCTTCTATTTTCATTTCTTTTTCTGGTTATATTTCAAACATTTAAGGTATCTATAGAATTCCTTGTTACCGTCCTGAGTGTCTTTCTTATTGGTCAAAATTGAAAATATTTTGAATAATTTTGATAGATGGAAAAAAGAAAGAAAATCACCCTTTAAAACTATATTGATCACCATTATTAATTTACTGTTTCGAACATAATATTATATAATCAGTTAAAAATACAAAAACCGCTTTTCTTAGCCTTCGAAATTTTGTGTTTTTAAGAAAAAAAGACGTTTTTAAAATAACAAATGATGCAACGTTCGTTTAACTTTACGCAAAACATAAAATGATGGTAAAGCGGCAAAAAAATGTTTTGTGAAATAATTCCAGAATATTGAAATTAAAACTTTGCTACATTAATACAGCAGTATACAATGATATATACATATAGAATATATACATATAGAATGTTGATCTACACATGTGATACTAAACTTATCATAATTACTTATAAGAAAAATTAAATATTTTTGATACATATTTTTAATGATTTAATTAAAATTAATTTGCATCATATTTTAGTAAACGACTGTGAAATTCAAAAATAAAAATGGTTTATCATGAAAATGATATAATATTTCAGGTGGTGAAATAGACGAACGCTGCAAAATTGAATGCGCATGCTGTAAAAATGAAAATTGTGGACCTGATGGTTTCTTTCCTGAAGGTAATTGTTATGATGGTTGCATTGATGGATATCGAGGTGTTCGTTGTTATGATAAATGTACCTTTAACTGTCCAAAATGTGACAAATATGCTAATATCTGTGAGTCGTGTTATGACGGTTTCTATCTTGAAGATACCAAAGACTGTTCAGGAGTGTGTCCTTCTAAATGTGTATCTTGTACATCGTCCATAGTTTGTACAAAATGTAAAGATGAATTTTACAATGACCATGGTTCTACAGACTGCAGGTATCGTAAATGTCCGGTAAACTGTAAATGTGAACAAAATATATGTGTTGAATGTCAGGCGGGTTATTTTGGTCCTAGCACTACATGTGTCGAGACTTGTCCTTCTAACTGTAATACATGTCAATCGAAAGACTTGTGCCAATCATGTAAAGCCGGATATTACAATGGTAAACAGCTTGATAATCCTCAAAATCCTGTGATGTATAATTGTGTTCATCAATGCCGAGCTGAATGTACAAGTTGCTTGACTTTCAATAATTGTACATCATGTGTGACGGGAGCATTTGGCCCAACATGTCAGCAGCAATGTTCTACTGGATGTGAAAAGAACGTTTGCAATATAGAAAATGGTAACTGTATTTGCAAGCAGAACTTTGAAGGTGTAAATTGTACAAAATGTATTCCTGGTAGATATGGTGACTCGTGTGAAAAAACTTGTCCTCTTTATTGCAAAAACGAAATTTGTGATCAAAGGTCGGGTAAATGTAACGAGTGTATTAGAGAAACTATAACTGGTCGGTTTTGCGACACATGCAAGGACGGCTGGTATGGTGACACCTGTAATCTGAGTTGTCCGACTTATTGTAGGGACAATACATGTGAAAGATATATAGGTTCATGTTATGACTGTACAAATAATTTTGACGGGATAAGGTGTGAAGAATGTGTATTTGGTAAATATGGAAAGAAATGCGACTTAGTGTGCCCTAATAATTGCGCTGATGGGATATGTAACCAAGGGTCGGGATATTGTTTATCTTGCATGAATAACTATTATGGAAATGAATGCACAATCTGCAAAGAAGGTTTCTATGGTGTAAAGTGTGACCAAAATTGTTCTTCAAACTGTTTATACGGTGTTTGTAATCGACTTGATGGCGAATGTCTCTACGGTTGTAAAGCCAACTTTTCTGGTGATAAATGTTGCGTCAATAGTGAGAACTGTTTGATATGCGATACAAATACTGAATGCAGACAATGTAAAGTAGGATTTTACAACGAAATCTGTAACGATGAATGCCCGCTGAACTGTGTTAAAGATAGCGAAAAATGTGATAAGAAGACTGGACACTGTTTATCTGGATGTATTGCCGGTTACTTTGGAGGTGACTGCAAGGCATCTTGCAGCAGATTATGTACAGATAACGTTTGCGATCAGAATACAGGAAGGTGTTCGAAAGGATGCGATAGCCTATCACGTGAGATAGTGTGTCTGCCATACACAGGTGAATTAAATTTGTAAAATTATTTTAACTGTCAAAAATTGAAAGAAAAATTAGTTGGGATACCATGATATTACATTTTACTTATCAATCACAATTGTAGGATAATGATATCCGACCGGCTGCTATATATTAATTAAGAAATAATATATCTCAAACAGTGATTTTATCGCTCAATTACATCACTGTTTGGAGTTCGGATGCGATGAATTATATCACGAGGGCGTAGCCCGAGTGATATAATGATGCGCATCCGAACGACAAACAGTGATGTTATCAAGCGATAAAATCACTGATTTGGATATATTATTTCGATTCTAACACGACATCAACAAATAAATGTTGCCGTACTTGATAGTTAAGCAAATTTGCGCCTGATTTGTTTCTGTACTTATTTTCAGCGCGTCGGATTTTTAGTGGTTACGTCACGTGTATAATGATTACGTCACATGTCTAAATATAGAACGTTAAACTGTGCATCTGTTGCATAATAACACACACTTTATGTTCTTCTATGCTCAATAGGGAAAAATGCGGGTCGTGTTAGAATGCATATTTGATGACCTTTTCAATCGTCGCCGTTATATTTGAAAAGAAATATTCACCTTTTTTTCGAGGAAATTACAAATGCAAAGGAAATATATAAAAGTATATAAGTTACTTATTGCCAACTGCTTTTACTAGAAATTCTAACACGACCCGCATTTTTCCCTATTGAACATAGAGGAACCGAAAGTGTGTGTTATTATGCTATAAAATCACTGTTTGACGTTCTATATTTAGACATGTGACGTAATCATTATACACGTGACGTAACCACTAAAAATGTGACGCGCTGACAATAAGTACGGAAACAAATCAGGCGCAATTTAGCTAATTATAATGTACGGCAGCATTTATTTGTTGATGTCGTGTTAGAATCGAAATAATATATCCAAATCGGTGATTTTATTGCTTGATAACATCACTGTTTGTCGTTCGGATGCGCATCATTATATCACTCGGGCTACGCCCTCGTGATATAATTCCCCGCATCCGAACTCCAAACAGTGATGTTATTGAGCAATAAAATCACAGTTTGGGATATATTATTTCTTAAATAAAATACCATTTAAATGACTTTGGTTTTTTGCTTTGCAGATATGGATAATAACAGTAACTGTGTCCTAAATAGAAAACAAATCTTAATGTATGTACTGTCTACAAAAGTCCTTCATCTCATAGAATAAATTGTAGTATATTACAATATGTTTTGTTCATTCTATATTATATTATCTTTTAACTAAGAAAACCAAACGCAAACAGAAAATAACAACAACAACAACAACAATAATCCGACTGCTGTCATAGTGATGGGAGTAATAATAGCTGTGTTGGTGATTAGTTTAGCCGTGTCTATGATTTTTCTTTGGAGAGCACGATTTTCCCAAAAGTAGGTGTTTCCCTTTACAAATGTTTAAAATAAAATAGTAAAAATAGATAAATAAACAAATACCGGTATAGGGATATAATATGAAATCAATGTTGTTTGATATAAAAGTTTATTTCATTTCGATATGAATTAACCGGTTCTTTTTCTGATTGAAGACATATTCTGTTTTGGATATTATCAGAAATGATTTTCTTGCATTTTTCCTTGGTTTAACTGTATAATCGTTCAGTGAATTTAATCAACAATGCATTTTAAATGCTTTTTAATTTTAAAAATTCATATGTTATTTTAAAATAAAAGAATAAAAAAATACACTGATAAGTGTTTATTTTGATCAATTTTTCAAAGATACTATCCATTAACTGGAATTTGTGTTAAAATATCCTATTACGAATGTAAATTCTGATGAATGTAATAAGCATTATAACAATATTACCGTTGTTTCATTTCTTTTTAGTAATACAGGTGGCAAGACAATATCAACTGAAAATAATATACAGGAAGGTAGTGACGGTAAGTTTACATTTTTGTATGTTTTGCAGTGCTAATGTGTCGGCTTTCTGTTTTGGATTCTTTGTCTTCTGGGTGACCTGCTGGTGTGACTGAATTTTGTTTTCATTTTTTTGTTGCTCTTTATAACATTGAATAACCAGTCGCTCTACTGAGCGGATCTTTAAGTTGACATATGCTCGCTCTGTTAATAATCTAACGCACATCCTGCCTGATAAATTTAGTTACACATTGATCGAAGCATTTGCATTTGAATTGACCTGTCTGGTATTTAACAGTGAAACATTTAGCCCCACTTTTTCGGTTCATCTGCCAATTAATAGTGAAATATATATCCATTGCTGATGAGGGGTTGCCTTTAAGGAATCATGACTGCAGCCACTGTTAATCTCTAAGTGACCACAAGAGACGACTTAATGGGTTCATATTTTTGGAATCTATGCATCTCTTACCTCTAGCAGTTGAGGTTGTTTTGCCCCCCTGGTGTTTGTAACACCCTAACTAAGGCAAAATCATTTTTTTCTGTTTCGGCGCTATTTCGCCTAAATTGTGTTGGTGCGTCGTGAAAACAAAACAAAGTGTGAAATAAATAAAACCATACGTTTGTAATAAACCAGAGCAGTTTGTGATTATGTATTATCAGTAAAACTGCAATTAAGCTGTACACAATGGATTAGCCTTGTTAATATGTATTTATATTTTGTTGTGTTTCTTTTTCATACACAGGTAACTTGAAGATATCATAACATAGATTCTTTAATTGTATGTTTGACTTTCTTCTTTCAGGGCACACCACATCTCAGAAAAATCCTGTTTACTACAATGTGATGGAGACAGATTCAGGTACGGCTTACCCCCAAAGCGATAGATCCATGATAACAATATAATATTTTGTTTAAACATTTTTATAACATAAATATCTTAATTTAAATTACACCTTCTTGTGAATATTTAGCGCTTCCATTAACTCTATATTATTAGATTTATGCAATACAAGCTGTCAAAAATAGATATTACGAATTTATTTTACAGCAAGCATCATCTTTTGGAGAACAAGTGATATTTCTTCGAAAATTGACAGCAGCCGTGTATATAAATCATAAAAACGTTACGATTACCCGATAAAAAGCGACGTTACAAACGTGCTATATTATAAATTCTAACACGACCCGCAATTTTCCCTATTGGACATAAGAACCGAAAGAGTGTGTTATTATGTAACAAAATCACAGTTTGACGTTTTCTATTTTTAGACACATGACTTCATCATTATACACGTGACGTAACAAATGAAAAAACGACGCGCAGACAATTAGTACGGAATCAAATCAGGCAATTTATCTTAATATTAGATACGGCAGCATTTATTTGTTGATGTCGTGTTAGAATCGAAATAATATATCCAACTCGGTGATTTTATCGTTTGATAGAATCACTGTTTGTCGTTCGGATGCTCATCATTATATCACTCGGGCTACGCCCTCGCGATATAATTCCTCGCATCCGAACTCCAAACAGTGATGTAATTGAGCGATAAAATCACTGTTTGGGATATATTATTTCTTTAGTACATCAACAGCGCAAATAATATAATTTCTAATGCTTGTCAACGCATGTGGGCCGAAAGTATTTAACAGATTTCAGTACGACACAAACTATACCAGGAAAAATTGTAAAAAGTAAAGTTTAACAATTATTCTAGATTCACAGATTGCTAAAGAAACAGAGAATAACGAGTATGAGAAGATTACTTCCCTACACGGTAATCTTTTTAAATCATTTATTAACTTTAGACCTAAATATGTGATTTAGCAATTTTGTTGACAGACATTTCAGGATGTGTTTTTTTTAGAGCTGCTGATGATTAGAATATATTGCAACTAATATAAAGATACTTATCTTTTGCTGTAAAAAAACTGTAGATTAACAACAACATTACTTATCACAGAATTGTAGTGTTGGTGCGCCGTACAACCAAACAAATCAAACACACAGTAAAATAAACAAACCAAAACCATTAGATTAAACAACTTTGAAATAATTTTTTTTCTATATGTATTAAATTTAAGGCGCTCAAAAATAGAGAAAATTAGTTTCCATTTGCCCGCACTCACATAACGTTGTAGAAGATATAGTTTTTTTGTCCCTCGCCTTTTCGAACAAAAAAGGGGGATATAGAAATAGGCTCCGTCCGTCTGTCCGTCCGTCTGTCCGTCCGTCCGTCAAACTTTCGTGTCCGGTCCATAACTTTGTCTTTTATGAAAGGAATTTGAAATAACTTGGCACAAATGTTTATTATAATAAGACGATGTGTCATGCGCAACAACCAGACCCCTACCTCCAGGTCAAGGTCACACTTGCTCATTCAAGGTCAACATTGCCTATTTGAGGGTATATGTCGTGTCCGGTCCAATAACTTTCTTATCTATGAAGGGATTTTTGTAAAATACTTGCCATAATTGTTCACAATAATCAGATGATGTGTCATGCGCAAAAACCGGTCACCTACCTTCAAGGTCAAGGTCACACTTGGAGGTCAAATATTAACATAGTCTGTTACAGGGTATATTTCGTGTCCGGTCCATAACTTTGTCATTTATGAAAGGAATTTGAAATAACTTGGCATAAATGTTTGTTATAATAAGACGATGTGTCATGCGCAACAACCAGACCCTTACCTTCAGGGTCAAAGTCGTACTTGCTAATTCAAGGTTAACATTGTCTATTTGAGGGTATATGTCGTGTCCGGTCCATAACTTTCTTATCTATGAAGGGATTTGTAAATACTTGCCATAATTTGTTCACAATAATCAGACAATGTGTCATGCGCAAAACCAGTCACTTACCTTCAAGGTCAAGGTCACACTTGGAGGTCAAATATTAACATAGTCTGTTACAGGGTATATTTCGTGTCCGGTCCATAACTTTGTCATTTATCAAGGGAATTTGAGATAACTTGGCACAAATGTTTGTTATAAATAAGACGAATGTGTCATGCGCAACAGCCAGACCCCTAACCTTCAGGGTCAAGGTCGTACTTGCTCATTCAAGGTCAACATTGTCTATTTGAGGGTATATGTCGTGTCCGGTCCATAACTTTCTTATCTATGAAGGGATTTTGTAAATACTTGCCATAATTGTTCACAATAATCAGATGATGTGTCATGCGCAAAAACCGGTCACCTACCTTCAAGGTCAAGGTCACACTGGGAGGTCAAATACTTACATAGTCTGTTACAGGGTATATTTTTTGTCCGGTCTAAAACTTTTTCATAGATCAAAGGATTTTGAAAATACTTTGCACAGATAGTCACTTTAATAAGAGGATGTGTCATGCGCAACACCTGCATCCCTACCTCTAAGGTCAAGGTTACACTTAGAGGTAAAAAATTAACATAGTCTGTTATAGGGTATATTTTGTGTCGCATCTAGACCTTCTTCATAGTTCAAGGGATTTTGAAATAACTTTGCACAAATAGTCAAAATAATAAGCCGATATGTCAGGTACAACACCTGCACCCCTACCTCTTAAGGTCAAGGTCACACTTAGAGGTCAAAGGTAAACAGAGTCTGTAATTTGGTATATTTTTTGTCCCATCTATTACTTCTTCATAGATTAAGGGATTTTGACAATACTTGGCACAAATAGTCACAATGATTAGATGATATGTCATGCGTAACATCTGTGTCCTACCTCCAAGGTCAAGGTCACACTTAGAGGTCAAAGATTTACATAGTCTGTTATACAAAATGTAGGGTATATTTTGTGTCCAATCGATAACTTCTTCATAGTTAAGGGATTTTGAAAATACTTGGCACAAATAGTCTCAATAATAAGACGTTATGTCATGCACCTGCTCCCCTACCTCCAAGGTCAAGGTCACATTTAGAGGTCAAAGCCCAATATGATAGATTTTTAAATTCCGTGTTTCATTTTATTTTTTTAACAAATTTATTGTTAACATTTGCAGATCTAGCATTGATCATAATTTTGGACTGAATGTCCTGAGATCCATACCTCAATCTTTTGGAATAGCACAATTTTATGCTTCATATAAAACTCCCGGGGCAGGGGACGTTGGTAACTCTGTTACAAATTCTTGTTGAAAATGGTGCTTTTTTGTGCGTCATCATGCGTGCGGTACTTGAAGTTTCCTATCACCATAATAGGGTTAGATTGCTTGTTACGTTATAGATAAAATTTTGAACATTGAAAGTGTTGGCATTTTTTGTATGCTAATGGGGTAGGTAGTTCCACTCACGTATGGCATTTGGGACGAAAGGTATTCAGGTGCTATGCCGTATTTTATTTGTAAAACAAAATAAGTATATGGTAATTGATGTTTGACTATTTCTAAAATCTATGGAAGCAAACCTTGTTGCAAATGATGCTATTCTAGCACATTCGTTTTGTATTTTATCTAAGAGATCAAGTTCATGTTGAAATGCATTTGCCCGACCGACGTCTGCATTTATTCAAGAATTAGTATTATAAACGACGTATAAATTATTTTTGAAGATTGACGATTTAATACAAATTATTATTATTTTCTCATTACGTGTACCCATTTCCATGCTTTATTTGTAATATATACAATATGTGACCTTAATATGTAATATATTTAACAACATTGTTGACGTACATTTCAGTATGCGTTTTTGAGCTGCTGATGTTTAGATAATATGACAACTAATAACAAATGTTCATTTCTTTTACTGAAAAAAGAAACCCTGCGAAAAAAAAAAAAAAAAAACAAACAAAAAAAAAAACACACACACAAATTATTACAGACGTTTATTGCCGGTAATGATAGATTGATAAGTGATTAGTATGTAATTTCATTGTATTTCGTTCGAAATACGTGATTATCATTGCATAAAAACAACAACATTATTATGCCCCCCTTCGAAAGAGAGGTAGTATATTTTTTTGCTAATGTCTGTCTGGTGCTCTGTCTGTCGGTAGACCACATGGTTTTCCGCTTATCGTCTTAAATTTTTTTTACAAATTGATTGTTATTACTAGTAGATAACCGTCTTGACTTTTGGGTTTTAAGGTGAAATGTCAAGGTCACAGGAATCTTAGTTTCTATGTGTTTGTCTGTCCGTGGGTAGACCATATGGTTTCCACTGATTATCTTAAAAAACTATTTATCGCAAAGTCTTCATATTTCACATACTGATTTGTCATAACTTGTAGATGACCCTATTTGATTTTAGGGCCACTAGGTCAGAGTTCAAGGTCACATGGGCCTTAAATATCAGAATGGTTCCCGCTCATTATCTTGAAAACTATTTATCACAAATTCTTCAAATTTCAGAAATTAATTAGTCATATGTTGGTAGACCATGTGGTTTTGCTTATTATTCTTAAAAACTGTTTATTACAAAGTCTTCATATTTCACCTACTGACTTGGTCATAACTAGTAGATGACTCCTATTAATTTTGGTTTTACTATGTCAAAAGTCTCAGGTGACAGGGGTATTAAATGTCAGAATGGTTTCTGCTTATCATACTTATGATAGCTTTCATTCATTTTATGGCATGTTTCTATTATAATAACACAATTACCAATAATATAAGTCAATGGCCAGGAAGGGACATATGTGTCGTTCGGTAGTTCTTGTTATATAATTAATCGTAAATGTATAATCCTTTATATTCAGGTTCAGAGCACGAATATGGACATATCACGGTTGGTGTTTAAATAACCAGTAAGTACAGTAATATTTTGTTATAAGTTTCATGTTATTAAAGGTGTGATTTTGTAAGTAAGAACATACTTTATTCGTTTACAATTGATCAATGCAACATCATTCTTTTATTTTTTTTACAGATGAAGCTATGTAGAATATATAACAGGAGACAGACACTTGTGTAAGATGAAATGAGCACTTGCAACACTTTGTTTGAAATAAATTCATTCCTGTTACTGTATATAACGAACGCATATTTACGATATTTTCATTTTTGATTTTTTTTTAAATGCATCACTGGTCATGAGTGAAAGTGCTTTTTTACCGTGAGAAGTGTTGTTGACATACCAATTTGTTTCTTGGCAAATAACATTAATGAATAAATTTCCTAGCTTTATATATTTCTATATTTTTTATATTTTATTTTATTCTTCTTTTAAATTTTACGTTGCATATATACTATTGACACATACTACTATAATGCATGTATGTGCTCATGTCAATTTAATATTGATTCATTTTGAACCGTTTCTAAACGAAAGTAATAATTATATAAGGGTAACAAAAGACGCAGTTACATCAAAGTTAAAAAAAAATGTACACGGATACCTTGATTTAAAGAGAGATAATTAAATATTTTAAGCAAAAACAAAAAACTTTCTCTTCGATAATTCTAGTAGTTTGTAACATTTTCATTTTTTTTTTTTGTTTATTTTATCCAATGGTAAATGAATGTATGATGCATACAACTTAACAGACTTGGGTGATTGTATTATGTCTATAATTTTGTGTATCTATATTTCAGTTGTATGTGTAAACATTTATTTTTTGTTAGTGTGATAATATGTGTACGTTTTATGACATAGTTACTATTTTCTCTTTTATTTTGTTATACTTCTTCATCTTTATAATATTTATAATATATAAATAAATAGTACAAAAATAAAGAAAGAAAGAAATGAATAAAGAAAGAAAGAAAATATGCTTGTTTCTATGCAATACATTTTAAAATAATGACAGAGTAGAAAGATAATGACGATCGTTTGTATTTGCATGACCACTTAAGCTGATATTTTGTAACACTCGACATTCTCTACTTTAAGACATTTATTATAATTATGAAACATGTTTTAAATGCATTTGTAAGGATACGGAAGTCATGAAATTTAGCACATCTATTTTTATTAACACATACATGTAAAGCGACCTTCAGCTTTTAATTTCATTTGTGAAAAACAATTTTGTGTTGTTTCAAACTAAGTATTTCAGTAATTGTCCGCTTAAGTAGTAATCTAATTATCGGATTGGACCTCTATGTAAAAGATATCGAGGGATTTCCCTAATGTTTTTTATATCTTATCGTCGGCAAATTCTATCGCTTAAGTATTCTTATTATCGGAATGGACTAAGGCAATAGAAAATAAATTCCCTGATTCTCATCCCCGCCCGCCTGGCAAAAATTGCTCCGCCCGAACGATTTTTATTTTCAAAAAAAAAAAAATAAAGAAAAAAAGAAAAAAAAAAAAAAAAAAAAAAAAAGAAAGAAAAAAAAAATAAGTATATAAGTGTATCATCATCTGTGCGGCCGAAAATCCGTCAGTCTCGGTCTCGGTCCTGGCTGAATAAAAATCGGATCATGCGGGCCGAGATAAAATTTCTTACCGTGAAAAATACTCGGGTCCAAATAAAATTTCTCAGAGCTAAAAATAACCTGTTTTGATAGTTAAAATGAAATGTGTTACAGAACTTTAACTATATTGAAGTTTGAACCACAAAAGACCAATTTTTGACAAGTCAAATATTCAAATAAACAGCAGTTCATAAACAGCATCGGTAAATTTTGCCGTAAATTACAAATTTGGAAATTTTGTTTTACAATGCCTTTTAAAATAGCAGCTGAATAACAATCTAAAAATACTCATAAAATAATTAAACTGATAAAATCGAAATCAACATAAACTTGAATTGTGAATGGTTATGCAGAAAACAGACATTTTTTCGTTTGTCACATATTTTCGCGATGCCGATTTTTATAATAAAAAAAGAAGTAACCAAAAGGAAGTCTATAATTGATAAAAATTGTCAAATAACACTTTTAATATAGTTTATTAATCAAATAAACGTACTGTATTGTTTACATTAGTTAAGAATGACACATTTGCCAGTTTGTGTTGTACAAAGTATATTTTCTTAAGGGAGGGGGGTGTTGAATCACAGATATATTATACAAGCTCCATGATGGAATTAATCAAGAAGAAACAGAAGAATTGGGATTCTCAGGATTTTGAAAATCCTAGTGAGGACCCTGATTATTTCTAATGGCCACATTTTGTTTTGTTCCTTCATTGAAAGCCACACTAAGAAAAGCCGTCATTTTGACATTCACCCAGGTTGTTATCATATAATACTTGAAATGTCACGGCCTGAAATAATCATCTGAACTAAATATAAACAAGGGTGCCGGTCCTTGTGGCCTTAAAAATGAATTTTGCATAGAATCTTGACATAGTCAGCGTGCTGCTTGATTTTGTATACATGTAATCTTTATAATATCTAGTCATTGTATGAAAGTGAAAATAAGATCGCTTTTAATATAATAGGTAAATCTCTGTACTTTCTTTGTCAAATTTTCAATAGCTAAGATGTTATTTTTGCAATGTAATATATAAATAGGAGTCTTTTTGTGTAGCTTCATTGGTTGATTAATTAATTTACTCATGTAAAAGCACTATTGATCAGCATAGGCATAGTACATCTTTATTCAACTCCTTTATAAAATTAATATGTCTTATTTTGTAACAATACATTTAGATCTATATATTGTTTTTTTTTTTATTTTGTCCAAACATGTCAATAATATGAAAGGTTCAATAAAACAGCTAGATCATTACAATCAATATATTAATATATATGTATTAAATTTAAGGCGCTCAAAAATAGAGAAAATTAGTTTCCATTTGCCCGCACTCACATAACGTTGTAGAAGATATAGTTTTTTTGTCCCTCGCCTTTTCGAACAAAAAAGGGGGATATAGAAATAGGCTCCGTCCGTCTGTCCGTCCGTCTGTCCGTCCGTCCGTCAAACTTTCGTGTCCGGTCCATAACTTTGTCTTTTATGAAAGGAATTTGAAATAACTTGGCACAAATGTTTATTATAATAAGACGATGTGTCATGCGCAACAACCAGACCCCTACCTCCAGGGTCAAGGTCACACTTGCTCATTCAAGGTCAACATTGCCTATTTGAGGGTATATGTCGTGTCCGGTCCATAACTTTCTTATCTATGAAGGGATTTTGTAAATACTTGCCATAATTGTTCACAATAATCAGATGATGTGTCATGCGCAAAAACCGGTCACCTACCTTCAAGGTCAAGGTCACACTTGGAGGTCAAATATTAACATAGTCTGTTACAGGGTATATTTCGTGTCCGGTCCATAACTTTGTCATTTATGAAAGGAATTTGAAATAACTTGGCATAAATGTTTGTTATAATAAGACGATGTGTCATGCGCAACAACCAGACCCTTACCTTCAGGGTCAAAGTCGTACTTGCTAATTCAAGGTTAACATTGTCTATTTGAGGGTATATGTCGTGTCCGGTCCATAACTTTCTTATCTATGAAGGGATTTGTAAATACTTGCCATAATTGTTCACAATAATCAGACAATGTGTCATGCGCAAAAACCAGTCACTTACCTTCAAGGTCAAGGTCACACTTGGAGGTCAAATATTAACATAGTCTGTTACAGGGTATATTTCGTGTCCGGTCCATAACTTTGTCATTTATCAAGGGAATTTGAGATAACTTGGCACAAATGTTTGTTATAATAAGACGATGTGTCATGCGCAACAGCCAGACCCCTACCTTCAGGGTCAAGGTCGTACTTGCTCATTCAAGGTCAACATTGTCTATTTGAGGGTATATGTCGTGTCCGGTCCATAACTTTCTTATCTATGAAGGGATTTTGTAAATACTTGCCATAATTGTTCACAATAATCAGATGATGTGTCATGCGCAAAAACCGGTCACCTACCTTCAAGGTCAAGGTCACACTGGGAGGTCAAATACTTACATAGTCTGTTACAGGGTATATTTTTTGTCCGGTCTAAAACTTTTTCATAGATCAAAGGATTTTGAAAATACTTTGCACAGATAGTCACTTTAATAAGAGGATGTGTCATGCGCAACACCTGCATCCCTACCTCTAAGGTCAAGGTTACACTTAGAGGTAAAAAATTAACATAGTCTGTTATAGGGTATATTTTGTGTCGCATCTAGACCTTCTTCATAGTTCAAGGGATTTTGAAATAACTTTGCACAAATAGTCAAAATAATAAGCCGATATGTCAGGTACAACACCTGCACCCCTACCTCTTAAGGTCAAGGTCACACTTAGAGGTCAAAGGTAAACAGAGTCTGTAATTTGGTATATTTTTTGTCCCATCTATTACTTCTTCATAGATTAAGGGATTTTGACAATACTTGGCACAAATAGTCACAATGATTAGATGATATGTCATGCGTAACATCTGTGTCCCTACCTCCAAGGTCAAGGTCACACTTAGAGGTCAAAGATTTACATAGTCTGTTATACAAAATGTAGGGTATATTTTGTGTCCAATCGATAACTTCTTCATAGTTAAGGGATTTTGAAAATACTTGGCACAAATAGTCTCAATAATAAGACGTTATGTCATGCACCTGCTCCCCTACCTCCAAGGTCAAGGTCACATTTAGAGGTCAAAGCCCAATATGATAGATTTTTAAATTCCGTGTTTCATTTTATTTTTTTAACAAATTTATTGTTACATTTGCAGATCTAGCATTGATCATAATTTTGGACTGAATGTCCTGAGATCCATACCTCAATCTTTTGGAATAGCACAATTTTATGCTTCATATAAAACTCCCGGGGCAGGGGACGTTGGTAACTCTGTTACAAATTCTTGTTGAAAATGGTGCTTTTTTGTGCGTCATCATGCGTGCGGTACTTGAAGTTTCCTATCACCATAATAGGGTTAGATTGCTTGTTACGTTATAGATAAAATTTTGAACATTGAAAGTGTTGGCATTTTTTGTATGCTAATGGGGTAGGTAGTTCCACTCACGTATGGCATTTGGGACGAAAGGTATTCAGGTGCTATGCCGTATTTTATTTGTAAAACAAAATAAGTATATGGTAATGATGTTTGACTATTTCTAAAATCTATGGAAGCAAACCTTGTTGCAAATGATGCTATTCTAGCACATTCGTTTTGTATTTTATCTAAGAGATCAAGTTCATGTTGAAATGCATTTGCCCGACCGACGTCTGCATTTATTCAAGAATTAGTATTATAAACGACGTATAAATTATTTTTGAAGATTGACGATTTAATACAAATTATTATTATTTTCTCATTACGTGTACCCATTTCCATGCTTTATTTGTAATATATACAATATGTGACCTTAATATGTAATATATTTAACAACATTGTTGACGTACATTTCAGTATGCGTTTTTGAGCTGCTGATGTTTAGATAATATGACAACTAATAACAAATGTTCATTTCTTTTACTGAAAAAAGAAACCCTGCGAAAAAAAAAACAAAAACAAACAAAAACAAAAAAACACACACACAAATTATTACAGACGTTTATTGCGGTAATGATAGATTGATAAGTGATTAGTATGTAATTTCATTGTATTTCGTTCGAAATACGTGATTATCATTGCATAAAAACAACAACATTATTATGCCCCCCTTCGAAAGAGAGGTAGTATATTTTTTGCTAATGTCTGTCTGGTGCTCTGTCTGTCGGTAGACCACATGGTTTTCCGCTTATCGTCTTAAATTTTTTTTACAAATTGATTTGTTATTACTAGTAGATAACCGTCTTGACTTTTGGGTTTTAAGGTGAAATGTCAAGGTCACAGGAATCTTAGTTTCTATGTGTTTGTCTGTCCGTGGGTAGACCATATGGTTTCCACTGATTATCTTAAAAAACTATTTATCGCAAAGTCTTC